TTCCTTCCTTCCTTCCTTCCTTCCTTCCTTCCTTCCTTCCTTCCTTCTCTCCCTCCTTGTCTCCCTCCCTTCTTCACTCCTTCCCTGCCTCCTTTCCTTCTTTCCTCCCCTCCCTCCTTCCTTCCTTTCTTCCTTTCCTCCCTCCCTCTCTCTCTTTCTCCCTCCCTCCCTTCCTCTTTTTCTTTCTTTTCTTTTTCCTTTCCTTTTCTTTTCCTTTCTTTCTCTTTTTTCTTTTCCTTTCTTATTCTTTTGTTCTTTCTTTCCTCCTTTCTTCCTGCCGTTCTTTCATAATTCTTTCTTCTCTTGTTCTTTCTGCCTTTCATTAATTCTTTTTCTCTTCTTGTTCTTTCTGCCTTTCTTTTCATTAATTCTTTTTCTCTTCTTTCTCATTCTTTTCTCCTGTCTTCCTTCCTTCCTTTTTTTCTTTCTCTTTTCTTTTCCTTTTCTTTTCTTGTCTTATATTTTCCTTTTTCTTTCCTTTCCTTTTCTTTTTTTTCTTCCTCAGGGTTTTGCTCTTTTGCTTAGGCTGGAGTGCTGTGGCACAATCATGGCTTACTACAGTCTCAACCTCCCAGGCTCAGGTGATCCTACAACCTCAGCCACCTAAGTAGCTGGGACTACAGCTGGGTGCTAGCATGCCTGGCTAATTTTTAAATTTTTGTAGAGACAGGCTCTCACTATGGTGCCCAGGCTACTATAAAATCCTTACCTCAGCAGCTGTCTCCATATAGTCATAATAACATAAATATTTTCCTAGTCATAATAATGTAAGAAGTGACTAGTGAGTTAATCAAAAATTTTGCTGTAAACATGTTGATGTTTTAAGAGTCAAGTCCTCAGCTATATAAGAAGTCAAGAGATAGAATTCCCCTAATTGAAATGTGGGAAGACATACCTGTCATGCCCTGCAGGTAATGAGAAGCACCACATCTTTCTGGCTGCTTAACACAGGTTTGCTCTGGGCTGCTGTCACACACCAAGAGGTATGAAAGAGTAGCTTTAGCCTTTTTTGAATCAAAGTTGTATTTACTTCACGTTTCCTGGAGCCTGCTGTAGTATTGTTCTTCCTGCCTGAAGTGTTCTTTGTCTTACTCTAGGAATCTGGAAGATCTTGCCTAACTTACTGAGTTTTTGGTTCTGGACCTTCCCAGCATTTCTCATCATGCCTCCCAGATTCTGGTGTGATAGTATTAGTTAGCTAAGAGCAATTTTCCATTATAAGAGAAATGTGAGCCTTTTTTCATTTGGAAAACTTTGGCATCTCACATTCTCCTCTTTAAATTTTTCATACTAATTTATGCCGTCTTCTCAGTCTTCTGGTCACTATATGAAACTTTAACCTCCACAGCTAAAAAGACAAACTGATGAAGGACAAACTTTTATTTGTCAGAGGTGCACAACTACTTATTAAGAAAGCAGCTATTTATATTTCTCCTCACATAGTGATGAACATACTATTTTTTTCCTACTAGGTATATAGATACCTAGTAGGATATAAATAAACTGAGTGTATGTTTCTTCCTTCATTAATCCTCCTTATAGTTGCATAGGCCCTATGTCTGTCCCGAAGTACAGGGGCTTAGAAAATTAGAACTCTAAAATGAAATTTTATTTTATTTTATTTTTTTTTTTTTTGAGACGGAGTTTCTCTCATGTTACCCAGGCTGGCGTGCAATGGCGCGATCTCGACTCACCGCAACCTCCGCCTCCTGGGTTCAGGCAATTCTCCTGCCTCAGCCTCCTGAGTAGCTGGGATTACAGGCACGCACCACCATGCCCAGCTAATTTTTTGTAGTTTAGTAGAGACGGGGTTTCACCATGTTGACCAGGATGGTCTCGATCTCTTGACCTCGTGATCCACCCGCCTCAGCCTCCCAAAGTGCTGGGATTACAGGCTTGAGCCACCGCGCCCGGCCTAAAATGAAATTTTATTAGTATGCATCACTGATAGTCAAGAGTCGGCTAAGTTTACCATAATGAAATTGTTTACTTTTAAAAAACTTGGGTGTGAACTATAAATGTGTATTGAAATGTATACATTCAAATACATTTTTACCTTACTTTAAAGGGGAAGCTGGAACAGTGGCATCTGCTGGTAGTCTCATATTTTAGGGGGACTGAGGTGGGAGGATCCTTTCAGCCCAGGAGTTCAAGGCAAGCCTGAGCAATGTAGTAAGACCCCACCTCTAAAAAAAATGGTCAGGGGTGGGGACATGGAAAAAGGAGAGCTGTGCTAATGGTATATAAGCTAGCTATGCCCTCATTTCAGGAAAATCTAACTTAAAAAAATTACAACTTCTAAAAAATACTATTTTCATTCCAGACTAATTACAAATGATCCCTTTATATTATATTCATTAGGACATTTTTAATCCATTTATAAAAAGACGTAGAACAACTTTTAACCTATAGCATATGTTATAATCAGAAATAAAAAGCTGTATTGGAAGTTGTGGATATCTTGGGCTTCACACTCATTTTTTTAAAAATCCAACAGGTATAGTAATGTTTAAGTGGATTTTGCTCTAATAGATTTTCTTTCCCTTTATTTCTCACAGTAGCACCCTGTTCTTTTTCTTTAATTTGTTTGTTTTTTGGGTTTTTTTGTTTGTTTGTTTTTTGAGACAGTGTCTCGCTCTGTCGTCTAGGCTGGAGTACAGTGGCACAGTCACTGCAGCCTTGACAACTCTTGGGCTCTAGCGATCCTTGTGCCTTTCATTCTTTAACCATTCTCAGCTCATTCTTTAACCTCTTTTGAAAATACCCATGTTGCAGATTCCATCCAGTCCTCTTTGCTGTCTTTTATAAAAAGCAGCAGAAGTTTTTATCACCTTTTTTTTTTTTTTTTTTTTTTTTGAGATGGAGTCTCTCTCTGTCACCCAGGCTGGAGTGTGGTGGCATGATCTCAGCTCACTGCAACCTCCGTCTCCCAGGTTCAAGAGATTCTCCTGCCTCAGCCTCCCAAGTAGCTGGGATTACAGCATGCGCCACCACACCCAGCTAATTTTTGTACTTTTAGAAGAGATGGGATTTCAACATGTTGGCCAGGATGGTCTCAATCTCTTGACCTAGTGATCTGCCTACCTTGGCCTCCCAAAGTGCTGTGATTAAAGGCGTAAGCCACCATGCCTGACCCTTTTCCACCCTTTTAATCACACTTCCAGCAATAGAAAGACCAACTCAGTCATCTTGTTTCACATATATATCAAAGTAGAAAAGTAAGGTGTACACCAGCTATCTCCCTTCCTTGAATCGGTACATTTCCTATAGAAGAGGGATTCCCCAGCCCCTGGGCCATGGACCAGTACCAGTGGCCAGTTAGGAACCAGGCTGGCTGCACAGCAGGAGGTGAGCAAAGAGCAATCCAGCGAAGCTTCATCTGTATTTACAGACACTCCCCATCATTTACATTTCTGCCTCTTGTCAGATAATGACTGATGATCTGTCATTGTGTCCCATCACTCAGATGGGACCATCTAGTTGCAGGAAAACAGGCTCAGGGCTCCCAATAACTCTCTATTATGGTGAGTTGTATAATTATTTCATTTTATATTACAGTGTAATAATAATAGAAATAAAGTGCACAATAAACGTAATATGCTTAAATCATTCTGAAACCATCCCCACCCCCCTCCCCCAGTTCATGGAAAAATTGTCTTCCACGAAACCAGTCCCTGGTGCCAAAAAGGTTGGGGGCCACTGCTTTAGAGAAATAGCTGGAGATGTCTCTTACTTTATCATTTTCTGAACTGGTAACATTTTAGATAAAGCACAGATGTCTCTCAGTACAAGAGGTCAGCATTCATGTCAATTCAGTGTACTATGTCTTAGCAGGACATTGAAGAGACTTGGTAGACTAATAACAGCATTTGCCAAAATGTTTGAGTGAAGAGTAGCATGTTGATTTAAATCAAAGCAAACCCTAGAAAACTAAATCATTAGCAAAACATGAAGAAAACACAAAGTGACCACTGAAGTATAAATTTGGAGAGTCAGTTTAATGCTGAGGTTTTATGTGAGCCTATGAAATGGTACTTAGTATGGGAATGAAGTTACACAGAGATTGGTAATCCCCACAGAAAGAAAAAATAACTGCAATTTGTTCAGCTTGAGACCTAATTCATAACTTATAACCATAGTAATAAAAATACATTCCTCCTGTTTCAGAGAGGAACCTGAACCCCAAAGCAGCCTGCCTTAAGAGAAGGGAAGAAGAAAAAGTTTCTGTCGTATCGGCAGAGCCGCCAACCACACTGCCAGGAACCCATCCTGGGCTTAGTGAAACTACCAACCCTATGGGTCATATGTAACCATCAGCCAGGTAAGTATGGGTTTGAAAAGAAAGAGCAAGGCAATCACCTTAAGTTGCGTCTTAAACTGGGCTGTTATAATCTTTGAACAGAATTCTCTAGTGGGCAGTGGCCATTGTAAAGGTCACGTGTAATATGAAATACAACAGTTTGTCTTTCTGTTACATTGGCAGACTTACAGAGAGGCAGTGTCATTTTATACCAAATTAGCATTTTCTTCAAAGTGTGACAGTATGTTGTGACTTTGGTTCTTGTGTTCTGAATCATCATGTGTACTCTATTAACACAAATATCTTCCTGATCCAAGAAGAAATAGTACAGTGACTCAACCATCAGAAAACACTCTTGCTACCACTCATGTTCTTCATTTCTTTATTCAGAAATGGTTGACTGTATCATCAACCAGTTTTCTGCTAATTCTCTAGCTCTTTATCATGAAGGCTTTATACATGAAAAAGATATTGCTTGCTTCTGTTTGGATCAATAATGCAAGTTTGCAATATAATGCTTCCTCTTCCCTTATAAGCACATCAGTTAACACCCTCTAGAATCTATTAATGAGTGTGAAGTTATATATAGTATAGCCAGAATGCCCTAATCTCTGGTGGAATTTTACTTGTTCAAGGATTATTCTTTATTTCTTCCTCTTCAGGGACTAAACATAATTTAGCCCCTTGTGATTTGTCTTTTTAACAGTATACATTCACAGTTGTAATCTAAGTTGTAAAGTTATTATTTAGGTAACTGAAATTAATACAGACTATAATTACATATTTGGCTAGTAGAATGGATTAGGAATAGAACTGATAACTTGATTTTTATAATCTGCCTTTGGCAGTATGTTGTTTTTTTTCTCAATTTTATCAACCGATTAAAAGTAGTAAGTAAAGGCAGATGAGTGCAAGATGTGGAACAGAAAAAACGTATCAAGTACAAATTCATTTTGTCAGCTTTGTGGCTATCTCATTTTGAGCTGAAAGTCTGGAATTTGATAGAATATTTGATAAACTACAAATATTAGTAACCCACCTTTTCCTGCGGGATTTAGTTCCTACCACTGCTACCTATATAGGGTCAAACAAGACCACAGAGGGTCAAACCAGACAACACTGAAGATTTCATTTAGAGTAAAAGAAAGGAAGACTTAAGGCAGTTATTTCAGAAGTCAGTTATAACTGTAACATTAGTACACTAGAGAAGACCTCAAATTACCTCCCCAACAAAAAGTATCCAGCAGTATAACAGATTGCTCATGTCAGAGACTTTAGTCAAGAACCAGTTTACAGAATCTCTAAAACCTAAATCGTTGTTTCATATTCTGTGGAAAATATAGGCTACTATGAAACAATAAGTATTTTTGTTTCAAAAATAAATTTGAAGTTTTTTGTTTGTTCGTTTTTATTGTTGTTTGTTTGTTTGAGACAGTTTCAGTCTGTTGCCCAAGCTGGAGTACAATGGCGTGATCTCAGCTCACTGCAATCCCTGCCTCCTGGGTTTGAGCAATTCTTCCACCGCAGCCTCCTGAGTAGCTGGGATTACAGACATGCACCACCACGCCCAACTAATTTTTTTGTAATTTTAGTAGAGACGGGGTTTTGCCATGTTGCCCAGGCCGGTCTCAAACTCCTGACCTCAAGCAATCTGCCCACCTTGGCCTCCCAAAGTGCTGGGATTACAGAAGTGAGCCCAGCCAAAAAATAAACCTGGAAGTTTTAAAATAAAAACATGCCACTATTTCTCAGTGCAATCTTTGACTTTCTAAATTGTTAGATTATTTCAAAGAAAAGTGATGGGAGAGGTAACTTCTTATGCTCAGGTCCCAGATAACCACCAAGCTGTGAAAAAGAGCACTTGTCATTCCCCCCTAATACTTCTCTTGGAGCCTGCTTTTATTTTTCTTGCCTCTCTCAAGTTAGTTCTACCCATTTCCTCTTGTTTTCTTCCCAGTTTTTCTCTTACTCTTTCAACTTTGTCTTCTCATTCTCATCTCTCATTTCCTTCTGTTTACTTCCTGTGTTTTTACTAATTTTGTATCTCATACTACTTTCATAGCTCCACCCTTACATCTTTATATAATGTGGAAATTTTCCCACTTAGGTTAAAATTAAACTTTGAGCATTCCCATCTATCAAAAAAAGATCAAGAATTATTTTAAGTTTAAAAAGGCATCAAGATAGGCGACATGTAGTGAATGTACTTTATTACGCAGATGTTGTAGGCTAGTGTTTGCCATCTTAGAATGTGTGTTAAGGTTGCTAATTTCATAAAGGTAGTTATCTGGTTTCATGATCTGGATAGCAGGTTAAAAGCAGCAAGAGACAGAGCAGGAGGAAAAATGCCACTGGAATCAAAATGGCTAAGAAATGACCACAGATTGGCTATAAACGTACAAAAATCTGCCACCGTATAATATAGGCCAAGTAGCTTTGGCTCTCTTAGTTTTCCATCCCTAAGAGCATCACTGTATACCTAAACAATACTGTGGTTATTGTTTAATAAGGAAGTAAAAGTTATGATTCTTTCTAAAACTATTAAAAATTCTTGAAGTAGAAAATTTCAGAATTACTATACATATTATATTGGGAACATAGGTATGTATAGAATTTGTACTAATAGTAAAATGTTCTTAATAAATATTGAGCAAATGTATTGAGGACCTACTGTGGACCAGGAACTGGGACCAATATGAAAATGAATGCAGAGTAGCCTCTGACCTCAGACTCTCTCAGTGTAGATGAAATAAGTGTAAACTGTTAACACAGTATGGATGAGTGGATGCAGCAGTGAAATGAATGCTTTACTATTGTCTCACTACTGAACAATGAATGAGTAGCACCTCAGAGCTCAGTTATTGCCAACTGTTGTTGTTAAAATGAAGGTTTGCATAATTACTGCAGCTGTTTTATACTCCTATAGTTTGTGATTCTGTAATCACATGATCTCCTTTAAAAATCTTACCATATAGCTGGGTGTGGTGGTGCATACCTGTAGTCCCAGCTACTCAGAGACTGAGGCAGGAGGATTGCTTGAGCCCAGGAAGTCAAGGCTGCAGTGAGCCATCTATGATCATGCCACTGCGCTGCAGCCTGGGTGATAGAGCAAGACCCTGTCTCAGAACAAACAAACAAAAAAATAACCCTTACCATACACATCAAGTAAAACTATTTCATTATACCTTAAAAGGAAGAAGTTCATTTATAAGTTACTTAGCAGA